AATATTGCCTATAAAATAGGAGAAAATAGAATACTTTTCCTCTGATATATTTCTATTTATAGTTTCACACCTTCTTGCATCTAGTTTCAAAGTTGTTAATTAAGTTCGAGATAATGCTTTATCAACATTCTAATATTATAGATGAGAAAATCAAAGGCCATGGAGTTCAGTGCTAGAGGTAAGACTCAGAGATTTTCTGATAGATTTTTCAAGACCTATAATGTCAAGTGTGGTCCTAATTTGACTTTCTGTTTCAACCCCTATTCTTTTAGGTTTTCTCTCCCAATAAGATGGAGATAAATCATGCAACTTTCCACCTTATTATCTACATAATGACCTATGCAACCACATTTCAATCTGCTTTCTAAGGAATTAAATCATTAGCCTGGATTAAATCTGGTCTGTTCTGCTTCCCTACTTGCTTCACATTTCTTTCTTTACAGCCTCTTGTTTTGAATGTACTTCTCTAATCAGTGGCACCTTAGTGTACCTTAAAGTTATCTCTGCTTTGAGGCCTTTTCTGTCCTTTATCCCTGCAAACTGCATTAAACAGATAACTTTAAAAGTGAAGCTTTTCCCAAAGAAATGTTCTCAGATTTAATATCTCTGGTGGCTCTGTGGGAGAGGAAGTAGTATCAAGCACCATTAGTCAGGGTGAGAAACCAAACTGAGTTGACATCTGGCCTGATGAAGCACTGATTTTAAAAGCGAGTATATCCAACATCCAAATCTGACCAGAACCCCATGGTACTCTAAGAGTCAACACTTCTGAATATTCACCACAGAGCTAGAGGATTCCTGATGCCTGGGAAAGAGCCAGTGCACTTTGTATATTTCAAGACATCTCAGGAAATGAAAATGAGTTTTTTGTTAACCCAAAGAATTTGAAGGATATATAAAGCCATTCAAAATCGAATCATTTTCTATAAGGAAAGTCCTGTATTTAATGACAGATATAAGGGCAACTACTTGTAGCTTTTTCTCTGGGTGGATCGTTTTTCTTGACTGGAAGGAAAACTGCTCGTATGGAGAACATTTCCATTGAATTCTTGATTCATCCTATTCCAGGCATTTTGATAATCAATTATCAGTGCTGTCTTGGATAATCCTCAAAGAACACTATGAGATAGGCACTATTTATTCCCATTTTGCAGAGTGTAAAGCTGTACTACAGTGAGAAAAAAATAACTTGTCAAAATTGCATAGACAGGGTTCACTATGTGGTAAAAAAACATACAGTAAAATATTAACGTCAGCATCTAGGCAGTGGGTATATGGATGTTACCTGTAACTTTTCTGCTTCAACACTTTCATTAAAAATGTTGACAGAAATACCACACAGCTAATGACTAGAAGACTGGGAATTTCTCTCAGGCCTGACTGCTTCTAAAAATAACTCCCCTAACCTTCCAGTGCTGATCAATTTTGCAGGAGTATTACTAGAATGTAACGTCTGTCATACCATGGGAAGAGCATGCAATTTGGGAAAAGAAGAGCTGAGTTCAAGTTCCAGATCCACCACTTTTCAGCTGATCTTTATTGCTAATAAATAAAGCCAAGCTTACAATGCTTTAAGCTTTGACTGTAATAACATTTGTGAAGCAGTATAATAATTATGTTCAAGTGCCATAAAAACCAAGCCATAGGACAAAAATGGTGGTGAGAAAGAGTCTGTTCCTTAGTCCCATTGCTAGTTTAAGAGCACTAGACTCTCAAATTCAATAAACAATAATTCTTTCTCCAGTAGGACCCAATAGGTCTTCTGGTTGAATGGTGAAAAAAACTTTGAAATTTAAAAGCCCTTAGGAAATAAAGGCAAAATTCTCAATAAAGGAGGTCAGGAAACTAGGGGAAAAGTGCTATGGATTTTAAGGGAACTCAACCTGAGAAAAGAGAGTTGTGCCACTTGAACTCTGTTTTGGAAAGTTGCTTTGCGGACATTGGAGAAGATCATTTTGAACACTGATACTGGTTGATGCCCTGTGAGCATCCTTTATAGTGGGGAAATGTAGGAATAGACTCTGGCAGGCATAAATCCTGGACTCAACTGGAATGTGGTACACGTAGGAAAGTGACTCTGGGAAACCAATATTGATTAAACCTTCAGCAAGCACTCAGAAACATGCTGAGTTTGATCTACCCCCTCACATGGGTTGGTAGGTAATCATAAATGTTAGATTCCTCAGAACAATCAGGAGAGAATAAAAATGCAGAAAATCTGCTATGAGAATGGCCAAAGTTGCTCCTTAGAAAATTTGATGATCCTTGCCCCAGTCAAGCAGCTTTATTGGCAGTAGCAACATTAATGAAGAGTCTTGAGAGTTTGAGAAGCTTGTCCCTGCATAGGAAGTGCTGTTCTGTAACCTCTCCATGTAGCTCTGTGTTATAAAGTTGACATTTTTACCCACGTTTTACTCTTTAATAGAGTCTACTACAGTCTTCTAGCCAGTCACTTTCTCTTTCTTTTGTGATGACCATAGAGCAGATGTCCATAAAAAGGTCCTGCCATGCCCACAACCCACCTCTTAGAATGACTTGTTCCTTTAACATGAGTAGCAAATCTCTGCTCTTGGACACAGCTAAGTGGACCAGAAAACAAGGCCAAGGCCAAACAAAAATTCCCCAGCAAAAATACCCATCTAAAATGGGTGCTCCTTATGGTGATTAATGATCAAATCATTCTGTATTCCTTAGGAGGTTTCAATATGAAATTAACAGATAGAACAGTTAGTAGTGGGCACTGAAGGAAGAGAAAATAAGTGGAAAGAGGTACAGAAGCAGAGGAGACAAGTAATGGTTTTAGAATACTGCTAGAGTTTCTGTGCTTTAGTCTCACCAACATTATGTGTCTCCATGAAGCCTAGTTATTTAACAGCTAAGGTGGTTCCCTGGAAAAGTCTTATATTAATTTTCTTTGACTCTAGTAATTAAAGCCTCAGTTTCCTCCCCTCAATATGAAGTAGCTGTGCAAACACGTTCTGTTATGTCATTCCTAGAGAATTGCCCCAAGTTCCAAAGAGAGGAAGTCTTCACCCTAAGAGAAATAGAACACCAATGAGAAATCACCATTAGTTATAACCACTGGTAAGAGAAAAGCATACGGTGGGGTGATTACGAGGAACAAAACCAATAGAAGGAGCTGAAAGACCACAGTTAAGGTAAACAAGTAGAGTAGAGATGTCAGAAGTGTAAGCCTCAAGATGGGCTGTGGATAGAGAAGGTAAGTGACAGAAGCAGCAGTTACCCCAGAGGCCTCTGGACAGCAAGGCAGGTAGTGAGGAAACTAGGGACCCCAATAGCTGCTTGCATTAGTCATTAAGGAAAGCCATCAGGCAACCAAGAGGAAAGGAAGATGAATGAAGGCCTTGTGATCTCAAATGATCTATAGCCTTAAAGATTGTTAGGCTTTCCCCCTCAGCCTTAATCATTCTCTCTGGCTTCTATGTTCTTGAGGAAAAAATACTATAAATATTACAAAAAGACACTCTGAGCTTAGAATGAAGTAAAAATATACATTTCCCAAAGCAAAAGGAAGTTACATATAGCTACATACAGTGAATACAAAAGTTACTTTAATAGATATTTCAAACAAAAAGTAGTGCCAAAATATTTTCACCATAATCATCTATATCACTGAATCATGTAATAATTTTCAAACAGAATCTACAGACTATAATCTCATTGATGACATCTAACAACTATCCTTTATTTGAGTGCAGCCGACGATCTCGGACTGTGATAACAGTTTTATATATATTTTCATTTAATCTCAGTGACAACTGACCAGGTGGAGATACTATGATCCCTGTCCTTACAGTGAAGTAAACTGACTTTTACCATGTAAAATGGCCACTATTTATACCAGCAGAGCCAATGGCACATATTCTACTACAGAAACTTAAAGATATTCTTCCTATAAAAGTGAAATGCACATAGTGTAAGATTTTCTTCGACTATCACTGAATACTAGAGAATACATTTCAATTTCTATATTTCACTTCTGGCCAAGACAATCTTAATGTTCTCCTCAGCTTGACTAAACTTTAGACAGGTTTCTTCTTAACTACTGATTCCTGACCTCCATTTTCTTAGAGCATTTACTTTAGAAAACTTCCAGTCGTAAATTCTTTCTCTGCCCTCTTGCGTTATGAACATTCTCTCAGCCTCTTGCCAGGTTTACAACACAGGGATGTCGTTCTCAAGGACCTGGGAGCTATCCCTTTGAAATGTAATCATCAAGGAAGATGCATCCCTATCCCCTAGTTACACACACGCGCGTGTGTGTGTTTGTGTGTGAGTGTGTGTTGGAGGGTGGAGCTATCTTCAGCAAGTATCAATTAGCAAACACAGAAGGCCTAATCACGTTGACCAACCTCCTTGGTTTCCTCATCCTTCAGTACTTTTGCGCTAGCTCAGCTCCTTGCTTTAAAACATTCCAGTCTTTTGTTTCAGATTTGTTGAGTTTAATCTCTCTTCCCTATCAGTCTTTTTTTTTTTTTTTTGAGGAAGATTAGCCCTGAGCTAACGTCTGCTGCCAATTCTCCTCTTTTTACTGAGGAAGACTGGCCCTGAGCTAACATCCATGCCCATCTCCCTCTACTTTATATGTAGGAGGCCTACCGCAGTATGGCTTTTGCCAAGCAGCACCATGTCTGCACCCAGGATCCGGATGGGCGAACCCTGGGCCACTGAAGCAGAACATGTGAACTTACCCGCTGTGCCACCAGGCTGGCCCACAACAGTCTTGCATGAAGTCTTCCTTGCCGGTTTAACTTGTCTGGTGCACTTTTTCTTCGACACATCATAAACAGAACTTGAATGAAACCTCAAGATATTTGTTAACAATTTGATTAAACTCTAGGGTAAAACTGATCTCCATTTCCTAATTATTCATTTGCTTTTCCACTAGAATTTGATTTTGAATATGCCACTTAATTCTGTACGATGCATTCAAGCAAGCTTTAAAAAGAAACATTCATATTAAAGTTACTGTTTTTCAGAACTTTTATATACCTTTTGTGAAATGAGAAGTGATGCACCATCTCAAGATTCGTGCTCTGATTTAAAAGAAGCTACAGAGAAGCTACACTGTATCACAGGGTAAGGGCGTATATTGAGAGTGTTTAGAGAATTCAACTCTTTCAGGGTCTGTTTGGTTAGTGTGGGTGAAGATGTATGTTATCCATCACTCGCTCATAACAATTACTTTTTCAGCCATTTCTTCTGTATTTCAGCTGTATTTGCACAATGCCAAATGTGTAGCAAATAAGCAAGATGGATCCGTATGGGGATTTTTCTAAATGTTCAACTGTTGCCTGCTATATAAGTAGCTATCTTGATTTTCAACTTAATCTCTCACCTCTAATTCAGTTATTTTATTTAAAAAAATGTCTTGATCATTTTACTGGGGAAAAGAAAATGATGGTTCGATGTTTCAAAAATTGAACTAGAGTGGGGAAAAATCACACCATCAATATAAGGTGCACATCTCTAAGTTACAGATAAATGGCAGAGACCTAGTTGTGTCTTCCAAATTTTCTTATTCCACACCTTTTGTTGCCAGCACAGAGTTACTTATTTCAAGATGGATATTTTGTCTATATTATAGGTTCTGTGCAATATGCACATGAGCAATTCTCTGTCATGATGTTCCTGGGGAAATTTCTTATCAAAACGAGATGTTTTAATTTTGAGACTTTTTTAGGGAAAATGTCTTAAAATCAGTAAAAATGTCCATATATGCTTGGATTTCTGGAGTCAATTAAAAGCAAATAAGATTTTAAGTGATGAGATAAACATGCATCTGGAGTCTGTACTGGCTGGCTTAACCTCTGATTCCGCTTAGCGTATGTCTATAAACCTATTTTAAATTTTAGATTGTCTAGTTGTCCATATTACTCCACCAAAAATAAGTTTACTAACTTATCAGCTCCTTTGATATGTCAATCAAGAGCCAATGTTTCCTATATCTATTATGTCTCCTTTTCCAACAAAGAAATATAGCATCTTCTATCATGGTACTGATATTGCCTCATCGTGTGGCTTGTATTAAATTGCAATGATACAATAAGATCTCTCCTGGGGCACTCTTAATTCTTGTTTTCACAGATGGTCCTACTGCTTGTGAAAGCAGGTTTGGATTTGTAAGCTTGCAAGGCTAGATCTGCAATAAAGTGGCGACTTCAAAATGGCCGTGGAAAGTATGAAAATGGGAAATTAATGATTTTACATTCAGAAACTTTGCTTATAATTGAATCATGTTATGTGACAGGTAAATGTTGTTGCCTTGGGTTTCCAGCGAATCTGTGTCTAATGATTATTATTCTTTCTTGAAAATAGCAACTCATTAAGATGACTATTTTCTGTCAGGCTTACCTTATACGGCATTTCTTCATGTCATGGAGCATATAAAATAGAAAAGAATTTTCATGGTTTGATTTATTCATGTAAAATATTAATAAAGTGAAGGAGTCACATTGAAATATCTTGTTTACAAGAGACACTGGAGATAGAATACAACAAATACATATTAAAAGCATGAGGACAAAAACAATTTATAAAAATGCAGAAGCATTTGAGCATACAAGCAAGTAATAATAGACGTGAAAATTAATATAAAGTAGCAAAGCATAAGTAAGAAGATTTAGGTATATTCAGATTTGTGGTAGAAACTGTTATTAAAGAGATATTTTTCTATTTGAATTTCAGTTATGACATGATTGAACATTAGATAGGATCCATTTTAACAATTGTTACAGCTTTGTGATCTACAGTGTTATTTCTACACTTATAATGATAAAGGACAAATAATAAAAATGGATATGTTTCAAAAGCACAGATTCTAGTATTTTTCACACTAGCAATGAGGTCATCTACAATATAGAGGAGCACATTTTCAGTTGTTCAGTACAAAACTTTACAGCTTTGTATCTTCCTGAAATAAAATTTGTGGGTACTTTTATTTGAAAACATTGTCATACTTTTTGTACTTAAAATACAGCGTATTTATTTGTTTATAAACACAAGCACACACACACACACACACCCTGGTGAGAATAGCAGGCAAGAGTTCTATCTACAATTGAGGAAAGTCAGATCTAATTCAAAATATTATAATTTTAAAATAACATAACTGCTGGTTCAAAATTCTCATAGTAGATTTTTTTTTCAAAATAATATCTAATCCTGTCATTTCCTTCATGACTTGGAAAATTTTCTAAGCATCAGAATCTATTGACCATATCCATCATTTAATTTAATTTAATTTCAATGAGGTTGTCCAATTAAGACTTTAAGTGGCACTAGGAATTGTGCTGGTTGAAATTGTTAGAAGTTAAAATCACTAATGAAACCAAAACCATTAAGAATATCTTGTCAAATTTCACTTTTCATTCCCATTAATGTTCAAACATCCTAAAGAAAATACCCTGCATAACGTGTTGCCTTCCGTGTATGACTTTGTTCTTCATTCTTCTCTACAGCAAAATTTGGACGGGAGTTGTCTCTTGTCACAAGCTCCACTTACTCATGTTCCATTCTTTCCTCAACTCATTCCATCTCCATGCTTCCACTCAACCAAGCCTATTGCTAGAAAGATTACTATGATCTCCATCTGGTTTGGTCTACTTCTTCCTCACCCACCACCCACTCCACCACAATATAAGTCCTGTGAGAGAAGAGGCTTTTTATATATAGTTTACAACTATTTACTGAAGGCCCCAAATTGCCTGTAATGCAGTAAGCAATCAATAAATATTTGTTCAATGAATAAAGATTGAAACAAATTAACAGAATTTTAATAAAAATGTGCTTTACTCTGGGGCCAGCCCTGTGGTGCAGCGGTTAAATTCACATGCTCCACTTCGGCGGCCTGACACTGGTTAAGATCTTGGGTGCAGACCTAGCACCGCTCATCAAACCATGTTGTGGCAGGTGTCCCACATATAAAATAGAGGAAGATGGGCATAGATGTTAGCTCGGGGCCAATCTTGCTCAGCAAAAAGAGGAGGATTGGCAATGGATGTTAGCTCAGTGCTAATCTTCCTCAAAAAAAAAAAATAGTACTTTACTCAAGAATTAAAGAGATCCTTTGTGCAGATCATATTCCTAATTAAATTACTGATATGTATTAACCTCTCTTAGGGAGACTCCATATCTCTCAAGGCCTCCCAACATCCTTGGTGATTCTCAACCAGTGTCCAGTTTCTACAACGATTTTCAACCCCAAAAATTGCAGGAATCCTAGGCTGCAGCAAGGTCTCCACTAGTTGCTGAATATGCCTTCCATGACCCACTGAACCCCTCCATGTATGCTATAAGCCAGTTGTTTGCTTTTGCTGGCATATTTGTGAATTTGATCATGTGCAAGTAATTCAATTAAGTCAGATATGTACACACCCATTACCCACTTAAGAAAAAAAAAGCCCTTCTAGGCATTATGTTAAGTGAAATAAGTCAGACAGAGAAAAACAAAGTACTGTCTGAACTCACTTATATGTGGAATTTAAAAAAGCTGAACTCATAGTAAAAGAAAATAGAATGGTTGTTGCCAGTGGCTGGGGGATAGGAGAAATGAGGAGATGTTGGTCAAAAAGTACAAACTTCAAGTTATAAGATGAATAAGTTTTGGGGATCTAAAGCATAGCGTGGTGACTATAGTTAACAATCTTGTATTATATAGTTGAAGGTTGCTAAAGAGTAAATCTTAAATGTTCGCACTACATACACAGACACAAACGATAATTGTGTGAGGTGATGGACGTGTTAACTAACCTTATTGTGGCAGTCATTTCATAATATACACATGCATCAAATCATCACGTTGTACATCTTGAATTTATACAATTTGTATGTCAATTATATCTCAATAAAGCTGGATAAAAAGGCTTCCTTTCCAATTTACCCTTCCTTCAACTATCTCCAATGGTTTCCCATTATTTACCTCACTAAAATCTAAGATCCTCTCCTTAGCAACTAAAATCTTCAATAAATTTTCTCAAATTTATCTTTGACTACTCTCATAGATAGTCGTAAAGGACTAGCAAGCCCTTGTATGAGTCCCAAACAAAAACCTATTTTCATAAATTTAAAAATGACTAGATTGGGAGTAGAAATGATATTGACTGTATACTGACTGGGGTAAACAACTTGATTAAGAAAAAGCGATCAATGAATTCAATCATTATAAGCAATACAATGATCTGTAGTTTATTTAGAACGATTAACATTTGAATTAGGTTAGTGTCTTGGCAAGCTAATACCTTGATGCGATCCATTAATTCCTTGTGATATGCTAACCTTTCTTTCCAACCAAAGAAACACCAAATCAAATGTATCTTAGTTAGTTCAAAATGCATAAAGGAATTGTTTACTTTGTACTTGACTCCAAGTCCCAAATACTGCATTTCAAAGTATTATTTCTAATCTGAGAAATTGATATAGACATAAGATCAATCTCAGCCAAATTTAGCTATAACTAAAGTAAGTAATGGCCAAATTGTGACTGCATAGATATGTTTCAAAGCTGTTTCTTAACAAAATTGTGAAGTAAGAAAGCACTATTCTAACCAAACACATGATATATACGATTCTCTTAGAGCTTACTGGAATATTATGAAGAATAAGCAATGCAGGAACCATGATCATATTCACTATCATAATCCCTCCCTTTGGAAGAAAAGAAAACTTAAAACATCAAGGCCAAATCAGCAGCTTTGAAATGTGCCCAGGGACTTGACTTCTGCTCCACATGTGCAGGGATGCAGAAAGAGTTAGATCTAAGCTGACAGCCCACACTGACCAAATGGATTCCAACCGAGAAGAAGAAAATACTTTGACAGAACTGTCCTTCTATGACTCATGGTGCTGGTGCAGGTGCTTTTAGAAAAAGGAAGTCTCAGGTTTTCTGAAGAAACTGCAATAACTCGAGGGTAATTGAAGATGATAGCACTCAGCAAGCTTTGGTGAACTTCCCCACACCTATCTCATTGGGCAGTATGAGGTATCTGGATTCTGGAATGGATCTTTTTCAGCCAAAGCAACAATTCTATGCTTTATGAAGAAAAGAAGGGTTGGTTTGACATACCACTATAACATTCTACAAGCCAAACAGTGTTAGATATCTATGTAACATCAAAATAATTTATCTGAGGATTCACCTAAAATATCAGAAAATATTATTTTTAGCCCTGTGCCAATACACCTCCATTCATGGCAGTTCCATTACAAGTATCTTTGCACTGTCATAGATGCCAGCATGAAAATGAAATTATGAAATTGAAATTCACCTGATAATTTAATGTCATCTGACTGCTTAGTAAATTAAAGAAGACAGATTCCAGTGGATTAGAAGTTCTTCTTTTTTTCCAATTGATTTGTTTATAGAATATGACATGGCTCAAGCAATGATAATAAAAAACTAATTTTTTAGCATAAATAACCAATCAAAGGGAAGCACAACATACTTCCCTTAAAGCTGAAAAAGGTAGTCTTATAAAATGCTTGAAACATTTTAAGGTGTTTTCTCACATTTCCAGTATTTCAGCAATATTTATTATCATATTACACTTCACAACATTACTGAGAGGTATGGTATGTAAACATTATTATTCTCATTTTATAAATGAGGCAATCAGGAGTGATATGAATTACTCAAGGTTTAAAACTATTTGATATCAAAGCTGGGGTTGTGAATGTTGCTATACTTTGGGGTTATAGGGAGGAGCCCCTTCACTAGGAAGCTGGAAATTATAAGAGTTAAAATGTAAAATCTGGATATATGACTTCAATCAATACACAGATAGTCATCAGGAAAAAATAAATGACTTCTGGGTCAGCAAGACTTAATAATAACTTAATTAGATAGGACTGTATATTCTTTCTGAACAAAATAAACATAATAAAGAATTGAGAAAGCCCTGGTTATTTTCTCAATATCATTAAGAAGTGAATGTTTTTAATCATAGCTAATATAGAACTATATTCACATTTATGACTTAATTAGTACCTAACCGTTGTCATTAAATGATTATGATTTAAATTTTAATTTGGTCCTTACAAAAATGTCTTATAGTTACCATGGAATAATGGCACACTATAATTTGTCCGACATTTAGGCTCTCTCTGTGTCCTCCACAGGACTTTTCATTTGATGTGGCCTAAGTTGAATCATCTAGTTTGCATGTAATCATTATGCTTATTCACTCATATAATGAGGAAGTATTGACTGTGAATGACAGGAAACAATGTCTATGCTTTGGGATCAAAATGAAAACAACATAATTCTTACACTCAGGAAATCCACATTTTCGCATAAGATAAATATATGTAAACAAATAAATATAATGCAATGCAATTCATGTTCTAACAGACGGTGGCCATTGTTTACAAACAGTAG